TCATGGGATGATATAAGCTGTGTACCTCGTGTGTGTCTTTGTGTCCACCTTCATGGAACGATATAAGCTGTGTACCTCGTGTGTGTCTTAGTGTCCTCCTTCATGGGATGATATAAGCTGTGTACCTCGTGTATGTCTTAGTGTCCTCTGTCATGGGATGATATAAGCTGTGTACCTCGTGTGTGTCTTAGTGTCCTCCGTCATGGGATGATATAAGCTGTGTACCTCGTGTGTGTCTTAGTGTCCTCCGTCATGGGATGATATAAGCTGTGTACCTCGGGTGTGTCTTTGTGTCAACTTCATGGAATGATATAAGCTGTGTACCTCGTGTGTGTCTTAGTGTCCTCCGTCATGAGATGATATAAGCTGTGTACCTCGTGTGTGTCTTAGTGTCCTCCGTCATGGGATGATATAAGCTGTGTACCTCGTGTGTGTCTGAGTGTCCTCCGTCATGGGATGATATAAGCTGTGTACCTCGTGTGTGTCTTAGTGTCCTCCGTCATGGGATGATATAAGCTGTGTACCTCGTGTGTGTCTTTGTGTCCACCTTCATGGAATGATATAAGCTGTGTACCTCGTGTGTGTCTTTGTGTCCACCTTCATGGAATGATATAAGCTGTGTACCTCGTGTGTGTCTTAGTGTCCTCCGTCATGGGATGATATAAGCTGTGTACCTCGTGTGTGTCTTTGTGTCCACCTTCATGGGATGATATAAGCTGTGTACCTCGTGTATGTCTGAGTGTCCTCAGTCATGGGATGATATAAGCTGTGTACCTCGTGTATGTCTTAGTGTCCTCTGTCATGGGATGATATAAGCTGTGTACCTCGTGTATGTCTTTGTGTCCTCAGTCATGGGATGATATAAGCTGTGTACCTCGTGTATGTCTTTGTGTCCCCCAGCGTTCAAGGGTACAGGCTATGCGACATGTGTTGGTGTTTTAATGTCCCCCGTGGTATCATCTGTGTTTCTTTAGCCTCTTGGTGGAGTCTGTCGTGCATGGATATTTGTTCATTAATCGGGATATTTCCAGCCTAACTAGAAATAGTCCGGTAAACAGTATTCTGATACAAAGAAGGAATTGATTCGAAATCTTTTTGGAAATTTGTACAATTTCGGAAAATAATGACAATTTTTGAGAATTCAAAGATCTTCTATACGAACACTCGTGTTTAAATGTACCATTATCTTTATGTTTAAATGATCGTGAAAGCAAGACATCTGCAAATGAAATATATTTGAGTTACAGGATTCCCGAACAAAGTCGAGATTCGTTTAAAGGACGATATTGTTTTTCTCCTGTATAAAAATGTCCGTCAGCTCAAACTCTCGCTTGATATCATCGATTACTTCGTTGTTCTAGGTTTGGCTTTAGCCTGTTCGTGTTCCCTTTGTATCAAACTTAGACAAGCTGATTTTAGAAAAATAATTTAAATATCCGAAATATATAGTCTGCCACACTTGTGTCTATAATTGTTACTCTTGGCGTTGAGGAGATTGGCCTCAGGCCGGTATCATATTTTGTCGACCCCCCCCCCATTTTATGTAACATTTCTTTCATGCCTCCACCCCTCTCTATCATATATGGGCAGTCCCCAATTAATGTTGCAACTTAATAAACATTAGAGAAATTATATATAATATACTGAACAACAAAAGTTCCTGTCACATTTAAAAAGATATAATGCAAAGTTATGTTTTTTACCAAATCTGAAATGATATCGGTTTGCAACAGATAAAAGACTCCTGTAAGTGTTCAAATAGTTTAATTTGCCATACTGACTTCAGAAAATGAGTGATTTCATAAATAAAACCTTGAACATGCCAAAATGTCAATTTACAAATCAATAGCGTGTGTGTTCACCTCTGGCTGCGATGCAAGCAACACATCTTCGTCACATGGAATGGACCATGCGTCCTGTGGGATATCTGTCCATATCTGCTGGAGCATGTTTCGAAGTTCCTGGAGTGTCTGTGGAATACGTGGTTGACGTCGAAGGCACCGATCCATCTCATCCCACATGTGCTCGATTGGTGAGAGATCAGGGGAGCGAGCCGGCAAGGGGATGACATTCACGTTGTTTTGTTGAAGAGAATCCTGAATAAGTCGCGCAGTATGAGGCCGGGCCTTGTAATGTTGAAAGGTATTTCCTGGGCCATGACGACGCAAAAACGGTAGAACAACAGGGCCGATGAGCTCGTCGCGGTAACGCTGTCCATTGAGATTTCCCTCTACCACTATCAAACGGGTCCTCTTTCTTGCTGTAATCCCACCCCATACCGCTGCCGCCCCCGAACCGATTTTCTTCCATGACACAATGATTGACGTAACGTTCACCTCGACGTCGGTACACTCGAATCCGTCCATCGCTGAGGCTGAGGTGAAAACGAGACAGTGAATAGAACTTGTCCCCACTGCATGGCCGTCCAGCGTAGACGCTGTCTGCACCACTGTAGACGTGCATGACGGTGGTTTCCTGTCAAAATCGGGCGTCTGGCGGGTCTTCTGGCGACAATCCCCGCACATCTGAGGTGGCGACGTACGGTTTGTGAAGATATTCGTCGAAGGCCGGGGATGCTTCTTGCAGTCACTGTTGCTGGCTGGAATCGATTTCGTAGGTGTGTTGTTCGAATCCAGTTGTCTTGTCGATTATTGGTTACGCGTGGCTTGCCTTTCCGAGGATGGTCTCTGACTGCATTCGTCTGTTGCCAACGTTGCCATAAACACCAAATGGTGTTTCTGTGGACGTTAAATTGTCTTGCAACATCACGTTGACTCCATCCTGCTTCAAGCATACCAATGGCTCGCAGACGCTCATTTTCGGACAGGCGTGGCATTTCGTAATGTTGAATAATTGCGTAATTTTGTTGTTTTTCTGAGTGGTTGGTGTCAGCACGATGCTAAACAATGCACATGGAATCCCGTTAACGCACATGTTTTTATACCCAATCTTGGGTAGTGAAATGCATGGGGCTTGCATAAAAGTCAACTTTTGCAGGGAATGCATGCTTTTCTGTAGCAGCTGCGTTTTTGTGACTTGATTCCATACATGTACTACAATGCTAAAAAACCAAACTTTACTTGTTTGAACAATACACTAAAATATTGGTGTCACAGGAACTTTTGTTGTTGAGTATATTAAAAAAGAAAATAGAACTGTGTCATTTTTCATGCCCGTCACCTTTCGCAGTCATGAACCTCACCGTGCACCCCTAACCCCACCCCACCCCACCCCACCCCACCACCCAACTCACCCATCCCCCTTTCGCCTCTATAATAGATGACCAGTCCCTAATTACCTTACTCCCACACTGACCTTTCTCAATCGATTAAATGCTACTGTATTAATTATTAGCCCGGAAATCCGTAAGTAAGTAACTCAAGTAGAGACAAATCATTGATAACAGACACAAACTTCATTAACTCGAAAGAAATTTTGCTGAGTGGGGCATTAAACCACAAACACACGTTACAATTTGAAAGTCGGAAATAACACAGGGTGCCTCATAACAATGATCTTCTCACCGAAGACGAACTGCCCGGCTATTCAATGTTCTAGATGCGGATGAAGAATACAGCGCAACTATACAGCATCTCAATGATTGATTTAAGGGGAATTTTGAATCAGTTGTTAAAAAAGGCCAGTAAGACGTTCTCGCATTAGCGACACGCTGTCCTCAAAGCGTAATGACATTCTCCAGACCTGACTCCGCTCGGCCGGCTTCACATACTCAACCCAAGTGCGAGGACAATTGTGCACGATCTGGGCGAAGTGTTTGACATAGTTTGGCCCACATTGTGTATAGTACTTATCAAGGATTGGCACGACTGTACACCAATGATTTTTTACTTGGATCGTTTTCCTTAGATGGAAGTCGCTCCATGTTATGAATCTATTGCTATATCATGTTACAAAACCAGACTGTAAGCAATTTCAACTGAGACAGGTGTTTTCAATCATCGGAATAAAGGAAACCCAGTTTCTTATGCTTAGATTAAGGGTTGCTTGTGTTGCCAGCCTTGTCTGATGATCAAATGTACTGGTATATAACTGTCTCAAGATTTAAAAAATTATGCAATCGTTGGGAATGAGAGAACCAGATTTCAACTTCAACTTTATTTGATATTTTGAGATAATTGTTCAGAAATAGAAAAGCTTTGAATGCATATTCTAAAAGTTATTTACGTTTTTAATAACTTTAGTCCTTTTATGAGACAGGCAGCAATAATATCCATAGCATATGCTTCCATTCGCATGTAATGGCAGTAATGACCAGAGGGTTTACGCATTCGTCTTATGTAGGACGACGTATTTGACTGGTTGGCTGGTCAATATGTAGCTGCCATGGAAACACCTATTATTTTTCAAAGTTAATATTTTTTAAACTTCAAAACGCACTCGAACGAAATAAAAACCCTACCCTTACAGAGACTTACGGAAGCCTTTCAGGGCCATTTGTTTTGATCTTGAAATTTTAAGATAATAAGATTAAATGTTAAGATTATTAGGTGAAAATGATATTAAGTTGAAATTTCAAGATGCATCTTGGAATTTCAACTTAATATCTTGAAATTTCAAGAAAAAAGGAAAAAAAACCAAGTGGCCCTATAAGGCTTCCGTAGAGATTATAGTGACGATGAAGCGATATTGTTGACTGGACGTAAGGGATTATTTCCAAAACATCATACTAAATGTGGTGGTCCCAGATTTGTTCTGATTGCGACGGTTAGTTTGTCAGCACTTTGTGCTCATGGTTTTAACTAAAGTGATAAATATCTCCGACTTGCATCACCTTGGATTTTTTCACACAGTTGCACACAAGTTGCAACGCCGTGATTGAAATATAATTCAAAATGGCGGTTTACCTCACTCACTCACTCACTCACTCACTCACTCACTCACTCACTCACTCACTCACTCCACGTTGACAAAAAATCACTTTGCCCTTCAATGTTTGTGAGCTACACGTGTATCCAAAATGAAACTCAGGCAAAAGAGGCTCTAATAAACATGAGTATTTTATTTCATAACGGTATGAACACATTCCATAGCATCAACAACGCACGAACACAAAGTGAGTGTAAATCGTTATTTTGGTTTTGTATAGCAAAATACCATACACAAAGCCAATAGCTAATGCATACAATACATGTTATAACGTTGAACACATGAAGTAATAAAATATATCATATACTATTGAACACATATTTCATTTTTTTCATACGGCAATGAAAAAGTGTATTGTAATACTTATAAAATATTGATGAAACTGTAGAAGCGTAGGCGAAGACGAAGGAATAATGAAATAAGAGAAAGTGTTGTATGTTATATAAAATAATGATGAAAATGTATTTGTAAGTTAGCTTTTCACAAGTCAATGCAGAACGAATAAATTCTAAGCCAAGATGAACTGCAGTAGAGTTTGTCATACAAACACCGAACAGATGTTTTGTATATCACGAAGCAATGGAGACATTTGTGTATTATGAATTCGACGGAATGTAGTATGTATATCATACAGCAATGAAGAAACGTAGCAGAGAAATGCAGTGTTTGTTAAAAGTATGGATGAAATGGACCCGTGTATATAAAGAAACGTTGTAGATACCATGAATTCGAAGCAGTGAAGAATTACAGTGGTGTCTGTGACACCGTATGGATGTTGCAGCGTGCCATATATCATTCACTGAAACGTTGTAGCGTATATCGTCGGAAAATGAAAAAATCATACAGTCGTAATGCAAAACACAAGCTGTAGTGTAAAACATACACGTAAAACGAATGTAAAATGGTATTATGCAAAAAGTTAGCTTTATAATACTGCTGAGATTAACGATAAGAACAATTAAGATTGGATTACAGAGTGACATATACATATAGGAGACATCAGTATCAACGCGGTTGTAGACATTCCGAGTTTTAGTACCTGAACGCATCTTTCCGGAATAAGAGACACGTCTAAGTGAGCCAGCGTGTATGGTGACAGCTCCAACTCTACCGTTGGATTGTAAGATTTTCTGTTTGAACGTTTTGGAATTATAAAATGGAAACACGTATAAATATGAATTATGATGAGCTTTTTCAGCCACCATTTAAATGATAATTAATAATTGTATGATTGCATATCTGTACAAGTATACAAAAAGCCTCTCCATGGATGAGATAGTGAGTGAGTATGGTTTTACGCCGCTTTTAGTAACATTCCAGCAACATCCCAGCGGGGGACACTAGAAATGGGATTCACACATTGTACCAATGTGGGGAATCGAACCCGCGCCTTCAGCATGACAAGCAAAAGCTATAAGCACTAGGCTACCCCACCGCCCAGATGGCATGAGAAAATGGTACAAGATTGATACATGTACTTGATACAAAGTGCCTGTAGTGAAGTGAGTGTCATAGTGATACAAAAGACTGGATGTGGTGAAAGTATAATGATGATAAATACTTCATAATATCCTGAGATTCTGACTAGATATTTACACTGAATTCATGTTTCACGTTTGTGCAGCCTCGAGCACGTCGAATATAAGAATATCTCATTCCACAGTGCCACAGAAGCAGATTGCCAAAGCATTAGACAGATTGTCATCATAGTCATAGACAGATAGTCACAGTCAGAGATAGAATGGCAAAACTTTAGAGAGATTGCCATAGTCGGGGACATAGTCTCATACATGTCGCTTCAGAATGATTGCCACAGCTTTAGACATATTTCGATAGCTTTAGACAAATTGTCATATTGAGAGACAGATTTCCATCGCATTAGACAGATTTACACAGTCTGAGACAGATTTTTTTTCGCATTAGACAGATTACAGTACATGAAGTTTTAGTCAGACAAATTGCCTTAGCTTTAGACAGACTGTTAAATTTAGACTGAGAAAACAGATTGCCACATTTGACAGATTGCCACAGCTTTAGACAGTCTTCCATTGTCAGAGGCCTATTGCTACAGCAGTGATATATTGCCACAGCTTTGGACAGTCTGTCATAGACAGAGACATATTCCTACAGCAGTGATATATTGCCACAGCTTTGGACAGTCTGTCATAGACAGAGACATATTCCTACAGCAGTGATATATTGCCCTAGCCTCAGACACAAACAGAATGATTGATAAATTCCCACAGCTGGTATCTATTGGCCGGTACCAAATATCCAATCTGTGTTGCCAAACTTTCCAAATATTTCACATGGTGAAATACACGAATTATCTCACAGTAAATGGTTACACATGTTCTTTGCCCCTGGAGATGATGACGTCATTGCACTCAGTGTAATACAGGAGATTATCAAATAACTCTACGTCATCTGGATGCCAGGGTGGAAGAGTGTCCCGGCTTCAGGCACATTAACAGTAAAGGATCACAGTGATTCTTCCAAGCAAGCACGCACAGCACACATATATACATCTGTCTCTTCTGTCACAGTCACAATCTGAGTAGAACTGAGACAGTGGAGGTCAACAGAAACACTGTTATGTTGACAACCCTTGTGTGGAGGGACGACCCTCCTCCGCTTCCATAACGCCCCTTCTGTGGAGGGGCAGGGCATCCCCTTTTACAGTTGTGTTCCGCGTAGGTGCCGGACTCCACACAATGTATTTGGAAACCTTGCTTGTACGTCATGCACAGGTTGTCTCCTGGAGAAAATGAAAAATGCATACATATATAAAAATTAATATTGTTTCGTTTTAACATTATAGAAATAGAGCCACGAGGCTCTGTACCTCACCTGACTAATTTAGAACCTTTACGACACATCAATCTTATTTGGGCGAAGATCATCTATTGTGACTTAAAGAAATATATAGATTCTTGGAAAAAATTGAAACACGTTGATTGTAAACCATGATGCCTTGGATCTTCTTGCAGACATTAACATTCACACACACAGCTTCAGCTCTCTGAAATGTGATTCTTATTAGATTTTAAAACTTTATGTTAAATTTGATTTCTTATAATTTTCTTAATCACAATGATTTGAACAATATAAGGTGTCTTCTTATGAAGGACCCTGCATGCCAAATTTCAGTTTCGCCAATCAAGCAGTTTCAGAAGAGAAGAAAGATATTAAAAGCATGGCAAAAGTGCAAATATATTTCCACTGCAACTGTCAGTGTCGGAGGTAGTGGGGGTCACAGGGTTGTACACATGTCGCTTTTAAGTAGTCCGTCACAGAAATGAGACCCCTATTGGGGTGACTGACACATTTATCAAATTGGTCAAAATGCTGGTCCGTAGACACTTTGGGACTGCTTGAACTTGTGTCACTTGGATGTCGTGCAGCCCATGTCTAAAATGTCAGACACACCATAGCTGAGATCATTTAGTTCATTGGCCTTGTAGTTTCAGGGATGATGTCGAAAGTGCAACACTGGAAAATGGGAGTCAGTGAAAGTCCAAGGTCGTAGCTTGATCAAAACTCTATATTTGCCAAAATGAGTAGTCTATGTTATTCCGCATGCTACATATCAAATATCATAATGATACATGCAGAAGTGTCAAAAATGGAAGTAATGGGCAAACAAGCCATTTTCAAGGTCTGTGACCAAGTTATAGAGACGCCACAGAAGGGATCATTTATGCAAAGTTCTAGCATTCACAGACCTTGTAGCTTCAGAGGAGATGAATCGACGGGCGAACAGACGAACATTTGGAAGATCGACAACGTGAGTCGACATAAACTCACTTGACTTTTCGTCAGGTGAGCTAAAAAATAATTTGGGGCAATACCATAGAAGCCTTGCTGTGTTTGGTTTAAAACTAATATGACAAACCAGTGACTGAAATCACGAGCAACGATCAACGCTGTAGATGACATGCAATCAGCCAAGTCGTCAGAGAGTCTGACCACCCGATCCCCATTTACGTCGACTCTAATTAAAAGGTATCGCGATGTACAGGGGACAATTCAAACCCGGAATACACAAAAGCAAACCTTCTACATTAGACGTGACCGCCTCCGTGGTCTAATGGTAGAGCGTCCGGCCGGAGAGCGGAAGGTCCGGGGTTCGATCCCAAGCCGCGTCATACCAAAAGACGTTAAAAGATGGTACTTGTTGTTACCCTGTCTGGCGCTCGGCATTAAGGGGCTAAAACAAGGACTGGTCGGCTCGGAGTCAGTATACTGTGTCTGAGTGGGGTATTCATGTTAAACTGCGGCATGGTATCTCAGTGAGCTAGCACTATAAATCGGCATCAGTCCGGACTAGTACAAGCAGCCACACACACACATATACACGTGCAGGTACGTTCGCTATATAAGTGCAGTAATCTTGGACGCGAAGTTAACCCCCATTTCACCTCACCTCACCTCCACATTAGACGTTTAAACTACTGCTAAGATTCTTAGACAAATTGACTCACTTAATATGTCGTCCTTAACGATGCTGTCACATAAACCCTTCCCTATGGCATAGGAAGAGTGGTGTGCGTCTTTACAATCTTCGGTCTTCGCTGTCTTCGCACAGACCGTACATCCGGGTTGTTGATCATTTGCTGAAAAGGACAAAACAAGATATGAAACAGATGGACCAATCCATTCATTCATCAGAAATCCATCATCAGCAGTCTCATCATTCATCCTTCCATCCCTTAATCCCATCCTTGATCTCTCATCTCTCCATCATCCATTCATTCACCATTTTATCCATTTATTTAGTATTCAATCCAACATTAATGCATCGATCAATCATCTATTCATATATCACGCATCAGTCTATCCATCCAAGATCCACCCGTTATTCTGACATTTATCCAGCAATCCATTATCCATATCCCATACCATCATTATCAATCATCTACTGTACATAGGTTATACCATTGTCCACCACCCATACACTCATTTAACCATTATCCACCACCCATACACACATTTGACCATTATCCATCATCTGTACACACATATAACCATTATCCATCATTTGTACACACATTTAACCATTATCCATCACCAACTGTACACAGATCAAACCATTATCCATCATCCATACACACATTTAACCATTATCCATCACCAACTGTACACAGATCAAATCACTATCCACCATCCGTACACACATTTGACCAGTATCCATCATCTGTACACACATATAACCATTATCCATCATCCATACACACATTTAACCGTTATCCACCACCAACTGTACACAGATCAAATCATTATCCAACATCCGTACACACATTTAACCATTATCCATCATCCATACACACATTTGACCATTATCCATCATCCATACACACATATAACCATTATCCACCATCAACTGTACACAGATGAAACCTTTATCCACCATCCATACACACATTTAACAATTATCCACCATCCATACACACATTTAACAATTATCCATCATCCATACACACATTTAACAATTATCCATCATCCATACACACATTTAACAATTATCCATCATCCATACACACATTTAACAATTATCCATCATCCATACACACATTTAACAATTATCCATCATCCATACACACATTTAACAATTATCCATCATCCATACACACATTTAACAATTATCCACCATCCATACACACATATATCCATTAACCACCATCAACTGTACACAGATGAAACCTTTATCCATCATCCATACACACATTTAACAATTATCCACCATCCATACACACATATATCCATTAACCACCATCAACTGTACACAGATGAAACCTTTATCCATCATCCATACACACATTTAACAATTATCCATCATCCATACACACATTTAACAATTATCCATCATCCATACACACATTTAACAATTATCCATCACCCATACACACATTTAACTATTATCCATCATCCATACACACACACATAACCATTATGCATCATCAACTGTACACAGATCAAACCTTTATCCAACATCCATACACACATCAAACCAGTGCCCGTCATCCACACACACACACATTAAACCATTATCCATCATCCATGCACACACATACACACACATCATACCATTATCCATCATCCATACACACACAGACACATACACACAGACACACAGACACACACACACACACACACACATACACACACATATTAAACCATTAACCATTATCATCTGTCCACACATCATACCATTATCCATCATCTATACACACATTAAACCACCATTATCCATCATCCATACACAAACGCACGCACACGCACACACACACACACACACACACACACACACACACACACACACACACACACACACACACACACACACACACACACACACACACACACACACACACACATTTAACCATGATTCATCATCCATGCACATATTGAACCATTATCCATCATCCATACACACACAAACACACACATATACACATTTAACCATTACTCATCACACACACACACGCACACACACACACGCCCACACACACACACACGCACACACGCACGCACGCACGCACGCACGCACGCACACACACACACACACACACACACACACACACAGCTAGTTCACCTGAACTTGGTTCGTGTTATCAAGTTCATACCTAAAGCCAATCGTATTTAGTCATATATAGGTCTATCTCAGTTGGATGGATACAGTTTCTAAATCATAAGAATAATCAACTCGGCTAATAAGACTTGTAACTAATGGAACTGTAGCTATGTCGTCCGCAGAATGGCAGTTTGTGATGGAATTACATATGCACTTGCATATCACCCTTCAACAGACGAGTTAATTTTTTTTCTATCAGTGGCATTCTACAACTGAAATGATGATATATACACACTGAACCCAACTCGAGGTAGCAATGTCGTGTCATATTCATTTAACATTAGAGCAGCATAGTTTGACATAATTACCTTTCAACAGTGATGGACAAACCGTTGCTATGGCAACTCAACGAAAAGAACCGATTTCTTTAAATAGTTTTAATAGTAAAGTGTTGATAATAAATCCACGCCACGTTGCCACGCCTGTGTGTGTACAATTTCAGACAAAACAGGTGAAACCAATCTTGGGCGGAAGGAGATACAGTGTCATTTGTATCACTATTAAATTGAAAAAATCCGATAACACCAGTCCCTCGTCATTCTATAACTGGGTGCCTGGTAGTATCTAAATTCGCTACGAAATGGTCAATTATCTTTATCTATATTTATAAATTAATTAGTTTCTTGTTTATCATATATAGTTTATTTTGAAGTTAATTTGTGAAGAACGAAAGCAGATGTCATCTGAAGTTTACTGCGAAAACAATATGTGAAGTACTGCACTTCCTTACTGATAACATCTATGTGATATTTGGGGATAAGAAGGTATCCCGATGGGCATTCACCTTCTTGCTGATCTGTTTCCTTATGCATAGGAATCTGAATGTCTGCTCGGATTGGCAATATGAAACCAGGGAAATTTGGCCAAGAAATTTAAGCTTTAACTAAAGGGATACAGATAATCCGATATAGTTCAATACGTGTAAAATAGCCAATTCCATATTACTGATTTACCCATTTGAACAAGAAATAAAAGGACCAGTGAAACCGCCTCACCTGTTTCATATTTAGATCTATGATGCATAAATTTGGTGACATAAAAAGCCCAACAAGTCAACTTTCCCTTGAGCAATATGTTAGCAGCTCCTGCCTTTGCTGTCTGCATTTCACATTTTTTAGGTACAATCGAGCATGCTCTTTCTGTGAAGAATTCACCATTCATCAACACCTGGTACCTTCACAAGTTGATGGGAATCCAAGATCACAATGGAATGTGTTTGAGTCGGAATCGTACAATGGACTCGGCTTTTGGTAGAGATCATTTCTTATGATTATGAAAACATTGTTGTTGCTTTTAGTGAATTGACATCATTGTAGAGGCTGATGTGATAACTTGGTAGTGTCAAAGTTCGCTCATCATAGCCAGGTTCGATTGCCTGCTTCAGGTTATCTGCAATGCCTTCAACAAAGCATTACAAAGTCTTGTAATCATTAAACGAAGCTAGGAGCAGAATCAGCACGCAGTTCTGTTTAAGATGCAATAAAAACTGTCTATCATTGCAATCGCAGTAAATAATGAAGGGGAGAGATAACATCCCTGATTCGCCACAAAGGCGCAATGTGTAAATTCGAAAAGTGGCATCCCTTGCCATAATATGGCTTAAATATGGCTAAAACCGGCCATACTCACTATAATTATACGTTTCCGACTCTTGATAACCCCGAACATGACTGAATACTATCGACAGAAAATACGAGTGGATAACTTTGTCCGTATCCGAGTGCGTCATATATTCTGTATTAAGCATCACTAATTGTTTTGAAGAAAACTGAGCGATCAAAGGAATCGTCCTGGTAAATTACCTTCATTCAATGAAATTACTTTGTCTCATAGATTCTGTCTGTGTGTTTGCTGTTAGTGTCATATAACAGATCTTGTGATAGTGCATTAATTTCGCTCTGATATCCACAGTAGCAATTAACTGAATGACCCGATATTTAGTTTTGAAAGATGGATGTGCAGTAAGTAAGTAAGTTGATACACACTCGGTATATGGGCATAAACGCAGTGCAGAGGGGGTATGATAAATACCGATACTGAAATGATCCGATATTTATTTTTAAAAGATGGATGTGGAGTAAGTAAGTAAGTTGATGCATACACGGTAAATGGGCATAAACGCAATATAGAGGAGGTATCATAAATACCGATAGTAAAATATGTTCTCACATTGATGCTGCTTGTCACAAAGGTTATCAGGAGTGGCTCCAACACGATGTACATGTATTCAACAAGGTATTACAAAGTCTTGTAATCGTTAAACGAAGCTCAGAGCAGGAATATCACACAGTTGTCTCCAATATGCAATAAAAACTGCCTATTACTGCAAACTTGGTAAATAATGAAGGGGAGAGATAACGCCCCTGATTGACTCCATCTCCGAGTCTGATTACTAGGACGAACATTTCGCGGACTGTGCGGAAGAATGGTTATTCAATAGGACTTATTACTGGTAGAAGAATGACGCATCCTACATGTCATCATATCTGCCAATCAGGCTGGCTTAACCGCGCCGGTGGCAATGTTGTAACTGGCATAACGGAGATAGTAACTAAGATGAAGGATTACTTTATTGATTTTCATAGCGAAAACGTAGAGGCATATTTTTGTCGTCAACAAGAATGTACACATACGTCGACTGAACTATCACAACGTATGAGTGCATATCATAATATAACATATATTCAAATATGCTATTAAATAGAATTTCTTTTTATGTTGCAGGCATAAATTGGAATTAATGTCTAAATTTTATAAAGCGTAAACATCTATTAAGTTTTAATGCGAATGCAATGGCGGCCAAGCATATTTCGAATTTTTAAAGAGTACTTTAAGGTATATGCATAGGTCAAAGCGTAGGAGAGCCTCAGCTACTTTTAGGTTAGGTGTACAATTGAGATGTTTTATTCAACAATACTTTCCCATAAATACTTGTGTGTACTAGCATGTCGATGCAATGAGATTTTGCTTATTTCCGTAGAC